GGGAGGGAGGGAGGAGGACAAGAACATGGGTGAGGACGTACATGATAGAAAGATAGGGAGAGAGATGAATAGATGAAATGGGATTTTGTTTCCATACCAACAAACATTGTAAGCACACATATGAATGACTAGCATTCAGAGCATTCAGCGCATCCGACACAGAAAAATGGTGTTTGACTTCCATTGACCAGGACATTGACCAAGGCACTGACCACCGAGTCTATGTTTAAAGCTACATACTAATGGTAGCCTCTATTTTCCTGTTAGGGTACACTGTCCAGACCACAACTCAACAGGCTACTTCATCAGAAACAAAGTATCATTCATTGAAATTTATGATTCGGTGAAGTTTAAACACAACTTTCTAGGTTGCCTTGGTAACAAGCAACAAGACAGATAGCCAATGACCTCTCAGAAAACAGACAGGAAACAGAAATGTAATTGGAGCTCTTTTTCAAAGGAAATTGTTCTTAAAAAAGATAAGAACAAGTTTTTTTTTCTGAAAACAAGGGAGAACTATCACGGCAGACGGATAAATAAACAGTATAAGTTTTATTTTGTTGGAGAGATTTTGTAATATTATATAAAAATAAATCTGTAGGAGTGAACAGAACAGTGAGGTCATCCACTCAGGCCCAGGGAAAGATGATGGTCATGAAAACATCAGATAAATATGTCTCGATATTCAGGTAATGAATGCGGAGTGTTGTGTTTGATAGATTACACAAGAAACACGCGGGTCAGGTAAATGAGTGTGATAGAGGTCCCTACCAGCTACGGCCTTGCCGTACTGACAGGAAAACTGATGATGTCGGGGAAACAGTGGGTGAGATGACAGAAAGGAACGTTACAACCTAATTACAATATATACTCCACAGGTCTAAATGACAAAACGGAGAGAGAACAACACAAATTGTACAATGTTATACGACCTGAAACCTATCTATAAAGGTGTGACGGAAAACACAAAAAAACAGAAACAGAATGAAATAGAAAGATGATAATGTCTAAAGTTTATAGAAATAATTAAAATAAATAGTTTTTTCTACTGCAGTGCAGCATTATGTAACCTTTAAAATATTATGATTTTTTATGAAGAAAATTTTGAAAATGAAGTGGACAGGAGCAGAGAATTGGAGAGAGAAAAACAGGTTGGAACATGTGTTAGCTGACCAGTGGGAAAATAATGAGATTTCCAATGGTTGAAGTGACCAATAACTTAGAACAAATGACCAATGGAATTGCAATTCGGACAGTATAAGTTAGGGGTTAGATTGTGTGGACAGTTGCCAGGCTACATGCACTGACCACTGAAGACGATTATAGCCACTAAATAGATGAAAAGTCTGTCTATGATCCCCTGTCAGCAGAGACCAGCAAATACCAGCTTAGTCTAGCTAGATCTATAGGTTGAGTAAGCCGACCGTTTACACAGAACACTTTCCACTGTACTTCTCAACTCTCAGACAGGTTTTATTGAGGCAGCCATTTTCATTGTCTAACAGTTGGACCATTCATACATGCTATCTGGTAATATATATTAATTCCCCTTGATATTTAGGTGTAACCATGGTTATCCTGGAGAGAGATCTGACCAACTCAGCATGGCTTTTGTTTCCATGACAATAAATCGACAAGACAATATTGAAATGGAGTTTCTTTTTTTTTTTTTGGCTTGCAAGTATTCCCCTGCTCCGTCTCATTATTATTGATAAGCCACTTGTCCTAACAGGCATCATCCGAGGAAATATGACGTCCTATTAACGTCAGCCACAGAACAATTGACTGATGCATGACCAATGATATTGCAGTAGTATATTTATCCTATAGTCAATTTCCTCTGAAGATCTGATGTTTGTCCACAATTAAATGGCTGGCTTTTCCTAGAATCTACTTGGTCGGATGACACTGATCAATAGTATAGCCGAACTAGTTATAGCAACTCATGTTTACGATTGGTCAATTTGTGTTTATCAAATCCTTGATAATAATAACAGTTTTTTTCCTAGAACAAATCAATGACCTTTTGTAAGTTTATGATTGGTCAATTTGTGTTGATAAAATCCTTGATAATGATGAGAGTTTTTTTCCTGGAACAAATCGGTGACCTTTCTAAGTTTATGATTGGTCAACTTGTGTTGATAAATTCCTTGATAATGATAGGAGTTTATTTCCAAGAACAAATCGGTGACCTTTGTACCCTTGACATGACCTGGTTTGACTTCTACCATATCTAACGAAGATGTAAACAGAATTTTGCTATCATAATGGACAATTTTGAACACACAGGTGTCTTTCAAAAGTTTGCATGTTTGTAAATCTGAAGTATTTGAGCCTCTATTTTAAATCAAGTTCTCAGGAAGTAAGAGCGCAAAAATATGTGGGTTCGCCATTCAATACTTAATCGGGGAGAGTTTGAAGGACTTATCAAGTACCTGTTAGCCAAACTCAGACACAACATCCACATAATGGCTGTATCAGGGGGAAAACAGCACAGCCCACTCTTCAATCTACACAAAACAAAATCCTTCCTTTTCACACCATCTTAAAGGAAATCGTTGAATCCACACCATGTGTGGTCTGGGCCGAGTCAAAACCTCGTCAAGGACTCAGTGAAATGACCTTGAACTTAGCATTAATGAAATTCGTAACCTTAGTAATTATTAATACTAATCAACAGGATTTCTTCAGAGAGAGATTTCCTTGACATTTTAGAATAACTATTTTCTTTGAGCTCTTTTTATGACATTCTAGTATGTTTTTTTTTGTACATACTTACATCAACACAGTCCTCGAGTTTTAAACTTCTTTCCATAAATAATACAACTTTCTGACTTTTGAACTTCATTTTCTTTCTATTATTTACTCATGAGTTTCAATTTTTCGGTAGAACATGTTGACACAAAATTGTATTTCTAACTTTGCCTAGAATTCTTTCTACAATTAAAATTGAGTATGATTTCTTTTGCACTTTAAAAGAATCCTTAGAGATAAAGTAACATGGAATTATTTTGTATAATTTCTCGTTAGTGATTGTGACATTCTGGATGCGATATTCTTGAGTGTAGAAATAAAATCCCTCTATCTCTCCTATTGCAATTATCTTACAACTAAAAGTCTGTCCACAATGCGTTTTAAAACATGTGGTCTATTTAACTCATTTACCCCTGAAATTTCATAATGCACTATTCCGACCTTTGAATTGGAAGAGTTCAAATGTATCTTCAGGGGTGAATGCGGTAAAGCTTGATGTATATTGCTCATATTTCTCATCTTTTGCCAGAAACTCAATTTTATCCTTACCTAGAAACAGCCTATTGGATGTGGATCGATAGCTACGGGATTTGATGTACGAATTTGGCATTTAGACAAAAACATATAAGAAGGATAGGAAATCACCCTTCTGTCACTGCTAAACACATGAGGTACTTATATAGGACAAATGTCTTCCAAATGTTGTTTGTACCCGAGCCATAACTTCCTGGTATCAACAAATGGAAGCTCTAAAATTGAGCCAAGAGTCTGGAATCAATATTGCTTCTCACCTGCCTCCATTCAGATGTGAATTCCTGGGCAGTGTCGTTCTAAATTTGGCCAGCCTTTGTGCCACATTTAGAAAGATAATAAATCTCACCAGGTTTTATTTGTCCCAATTAAATGGATGAAATTGTCTATGTTCAAATTACGTATAGCTGATTTATAACGACAAAAGAGAATAATACTTGCAATAGTTTATAAATTTGTGAGAAAATGTTGTTTAATGGGTACGCTTTACAGGGATTTTAGTCCCACCAGACTTGGAAGATGTGCAATCAGGACAATTGTAAGAGACCTATTGTACGATCACATGTCAGCTCTCTACCTAATAAAACTAATTTCAACTTCAATCAGTGGTTTTATGGTGCGGCTTTGGAGCGCTACTTGTTGCGGAGGACAAATTGATTGGGAGACTGGTGTAGTCCTTGCTTTAATGGATCATGTACTTATGCTGTATTACAACTCAATTGGGTGTTTAGATTGGAGCACGAAACACTATTGTACGTTCAATGACAACTCTAGTGGCGGCCATGTTGTATTCACCTCACCAAGGCTTCTCAATGTGGAGATCACCATGACCAAGATTCATGCTAACATACCGCCACCCTAGGGAACCCAGAACTATCGAAATGCTACAAGTAGCAGATAAGTCTCCAGCAAAATAAAAACTCTTTAGGGAAGCATTTCTGCTGAGATTCAAAGAAAAAAACCTTTATCCCCATGTAAGCTTCACCATGACCAAAATTCATGCTAACATACCGCCACCCTAGGGGAACAGAACTATCAAAATGCTACAAGTAGCAGATCAGTCTCAAGAAAAAAACACCACTGTTTTTCGGAAGCATTTCTGCTGAGATTCAAAGAAAAAATACTTTATCCCCATGTAAGCTTCACCATGACCAAGATTCATGCTAACATGGCACCACCCAAGAGCATAAAGAACTATCAAAATGCTCCAAGCCTGCGGAAAAACGATTGTTTTTTTTTGTAAGTATTTTGTGTGACGAGATTCAAAGGCAAAAATACTTTTAACAAAATCTGAGCCTACATGACAAATAATAAGACAAAAACAGATCTGGTTATAGAGTCATCGATTTCCTGTGTTTCCCTTGCAAAATATTTCGCGCTAATTTGCATCTGAGCCATTTGAGATACGTTTGAATTCTCTGCTCCATGTTCAAGCACTATAAATAAAAGGTTTTCAATGTTTGATGCTTAGTCTCCATTGATCCACCTCAAATTCCTATTAAAGTCATTCTACAAAACATACCGTAGCTTATGGCTTTTTTCAAATACCGTGATTGTTAGACATCTGATTTTAAACTACATTTACTGACATCGCCAAAGAGGTATTTACTTTCAATTCATTCTCTCCTTCAGTCAAATCATATTTGATGTAATTTTTAACTGGCAATCTTTTTTTTTTTTTTTTTAGTTATCAAATAACCTTTATTTTAAAACCAGGGAACATACCATTTCTCTTACAAGGTCGTGATCATGAATGCATGCAAGAAGAATAGGTTAAACGCCTCAGGGTCTGGGCCTGCGGACCATGTTATATATTAAGTCAAGCTTGAACTAATGCATCAATACTATTTAGACCAAAATAGATTTGTTTTTAAGAAGAATTGGTTGTCTTTCTGTTCACATGCAAAACACTGTATAAGACAATTAAAGGGTAGTCTCCCTTTGGAGGTGAAGCAAGGAAGAGGCGTGGGAATGTGTTCTGTTTACTGACAAGCGAGACATGTGTATAAAATGACTTACTTCTGTAATACTTACTTTGGCCATCTGAACTTGCATATTTTGTGCCTGAAGGTTTTTCAGAGCCACTGCGGCATCCTGGGGGTTCTCAAAATCAACGAATCCATACCCTGCAAACATACACACAGTCAGTGTAAACATTTAAAAGTCAATATTGGTAATTCAAAGTAGATAGTGTAACCATTTAAAGACATAAACCCAGCCAGGAAAATATCCCTTCAACGTTTCTTTTATCCCTTGTTTGATTTGTGCAAAATTTGATTTTGTTTTTGAACAACTTGATTTAAATTAACAATGAGCACACTGGCCTCGTATGACCTTGTAATTGTCCGAACAAGTTATAAAATGTGAAGTTAAATTGTCGTTGAGGATTTAAAAGTGTTTCACACCGTGAACCGATAAACCAATATTGGTAAAGTGAAGGTGACAGACACTAGTGGTAGGGACAATATTTGAACAACAAGTCTTGATCAGAACTGCTTAGCCTGAACCAAATCAGAACAAGTCTGGATTAAAATTAGGCCTGATAACAGCATCCGATACCTTAGTAAGTGATTTTAAATCTTTCTACCTGTTAAAACTACTATGTGTGTAAATTTGTTCTCAACTTTTATTTGTACAATTTTTTATTCGACAATGGAGGCATTAATATAGCAGAAATCGGAAATTGGAACCAGCCCGGATCACAATTACATACAAAAACCTTGTGATTTTGGGGTTCTATTTCTGAATGCTTAAATATAGAATCTTGCAGCAGCTTATGTTTTGATAAATCAATAAAATTATTTCAGGTTTAAAGAGTGAAATTGTGTACCAGAAATACAAGTAGAAACTGTGAGGAAAGTAAGATGTCATGTCCAGTATACTTAAAAGTGAAACCATTTTATTCAGGCCACATTCGTTTATTGTGATTCAAACCGTTGAACTGGTTGGACCAAAGTTGTACCGGTTGGACCAAAGTTGTACCGGTTGGACCAAAGTTGTACCGGGTTGACCAAAGTTGAACCAGTTGGATCAAAGTTGTACCGGTTGGACCAAAGCTGTACCGGTTGGACCAAAGTTGCACCGGTTGGACCAAAGTTGTACCAGTTTGAGCAAAGTTGTACCGGTTGGACCCAAGTTGTACCGGTTGGACCAAAGCTGTACCGGTTGGACCAAAGTTGTGCCGGTTTGACCAAAGTTGAACCTGTTGGACCAAAGTTGTACCGGTTGGACCCAAGTTGTACCGGTTGGACCAAAGTTGTGCCGGTTGGACCAAAGTTGTACCAGTTTGAGCAAAGTTGTACCGGTTGGACCCAAGTTGTACCGGTTGGACCAAAGTTGAACCAGTTGGACCAAAGTTGTTCGTTTATGAAATAAGGTCTAAACTAGAAGTCTGATGCTGCTTTCAGGCTAGCCTTGACAAAGTCTTGCAAGAAGACCTGTATAAACATTTGAAGGTCCGCCAGGATTTATACCCGAAAATGTGACATTTGAAAACTGACAAACTAGTCGAACCGGATATAAGAAAAGGGCCCTAACCAAGATTCTGGCATTATAAGGTGGTCTGGCAATATATCGAGGGAGATCTATTATGGAATAGTTAAAGAAGAAGGAAAATTTTAAGACACCAGCAATAAGTGAGATGGCCTAAAAAACAAGAGGCTTTATATTGAGGTTATATTGTATGGGAGAGTTTAACATCGCTATCATCATTATCATCAAAACACAGAATAATGTCAGAGTTTTACTTCAATTAACAGCAGAGACAGACTGATGCAACCTAATGCTCAAATTCCCGTCTTAATGTAGAACTCGATTAGCGAGAGGAGACAAACTGATTAGTTGTGACATGGAGACTGTATACAGTGCGCTGACCCACGATAACATATACATTTTACTATTCACTTTTCTTTGAAACCAATTGAATCATGACCTACTGTGAAATAGCACGAAATTTTTTGATTTAGTAGTTTTGATATCCATGTAATAGTGTATATACATAGTCCTCTGAAAGATGTTTACACATTTGTAGCTCCATCCTTTTATCAACGGCGTTCATACATTCGTAATGGTCTGATAATGACAAATATACTTTTTTGCTTGCTTTCATAAACTTCAGACTTCTTGATAAGAACTGTTTGATATCAATATTTTGTGATAGGTTGAAAGTCTGGTATTTTGGAATGAGGTATGCGTAGATGAAGAGTTCGTTCGTCTGATGTTCAATGAGTTCTAGATTCGATCGGATGCCTGTGATATGAGCCATCATGCTCCGTCAGACGGCCACAGTAGGTGTGTCAACTATTCCAGTCACAAAGTCTATCCATTCTAATCGAGGGAAGAATCTCGAAACTTGAAAAGAGAAGTCTAGAGAGAGGTACAATTATCTATATGTGAGCCCTGCACACTGTTTGTCATTGGACATTTTCTGGACTGGAAAGTCAATTAACTTTGAACACCGTGGTTGTTTGATGTTCCTGAAGTGCTTTTTTCACTTTTTATTTTGTGTGTGTGTGATGGATCTAAAGCTGATGTAAGGATCGAGTCCTCTGGTAGATCAGTTGCGAGTATAGAAATCTCAAACGAGGAAACTGTCTTACCCTAACTGTTTATCTTCAGCTCTCATTTAAAACCTCAACTATACCCCGATTAATAGTCACATGACAGTCATATGAACTTAAATTAAACCACAATAAAATAGCAAGCAAGCTGAATTGGCTCATTCATCCCAGACATTTCATAATGAACTATTCCAACCATTGAATTTGAAGAGTTCAAATGTGTCTTCAGGGGTGAATGAGTTAAGTTTCCAGTTGATAGATGATATCAAGCTAGACCAAAGGTCAACTGGATGGAGACACACTCCTTGTCCAATAACTGTGACAACTGTGAAAGCATTTGTCCAATCAGCTTTGTAATTTGCAGGAGATAATGAAAAGCACCTGATGACCCCTGTGTGACTTCAGATTGATCTATTTATAGACAGCAGCAGATTTGAGATTTGATGGCTTTTAATTGTCATCTGTTTGGAATGAAAACAAACTATTTCTGTGCCTACGAAAGGAGCATGATTACAAGTTCTTTGCCCTCTTATACCTTCCCAAATCTTACTTTTATTGCTTTTTCCTAAATTGTTGTCGAAATGGAGGATACGATGGTGTCATTAAGTGAATCCTTCAGAAAAGAAAGAATAATGTGGACATTTGCATTGTGTAATATTACCGACTGCAAATGGGATGAATACATAAGAAAGTGTTCAATTCCTTAATATGTCCCTCATGTTGGCGGTAGGAGGGGGGAACCAGATGTCATTACAACATAGCTGTCATATCTGCACATGAGGGGGGTTAATGTTCCAATTAAAAAGTCATTGATGGTGGCAAGGGTTTGTCTGGCTAACTATACCTGCATTCTATCTGTCTTCGTAACAGAAAAACGTTGTCATTTGTCAGGACGCCAGGCGTTAACGACAAAGCATACCTTATCTATGGGAGGAATATGGGGCTGTAATTAGCGTTCCCCGAGCTTCCAGATTTTTACACGTATCCCTACTCTACTTGATAATGAGACATGTATACCATCAACACCTCGTGTGGTGCGTATGTAATAGTGACAACTCTGATGTAGAAATACTGCATCTTATCATGTATTTCTCAGCATATTAAGTGTAGCTGTGAGAAAATTTGGTCACAACTGCATGTGATCTAAGTAACAATCACCGAAAATCTGTTGTAAGTGTTCCGATTGCAATGTGTACCTTCCGAAACTTGTACTCGTAACTAAGGACCACTGATTAAAACTGGCAAGGCAGTTACGTAACGCTACATTAGTCTCGGGTAATTTTGCAGCAGAAAGGTAATTTTACTTTCAATTATGAAGAACAATTTGGTGCAGTCTCCAAAAATACCACAATACTAATTAGAGAATTTACAATTAGCTTTCCCTCCGAGATACACCGCTCCCCTGTGAGGTAACCCATTGTTCTCGCTATTTGTAGACATCTTCTGTATGCTGTAGAAACCTTACCTTTGCATTTGTTTGTAGTTTGGTCCATTATGGCTTTGGTGGAAACAATCTTGCCATATCTGTAAAGACATAAAGATAAAATAACATTAACAACAGGTCTTCCTTCAATATCTTTAAAATTTCTACGAAGTATTTTTACTCTCCAAAAATAAAAATAAAACTCTGCAACAGTAACTCTTCATTAAGAAACAGTTTTACCTTTCTAATGTATCATTAACCGAGTCATATTTTTACGAGCGCAGATGACTACTGGAATTTAAACTTTTGAAAACATAACTAAAGCTATTGTCTTGAACACCCGTTTTCTTAAACCGTTCATCCCTAAAGTCCCATTTTTTACCAAATCAAAGACTGGCCAAGTCCAGTTTAGATATATGTAGGGGTGAATGTGTTCTTATACGAATCATTTTTTTTTCATTCTTAATTAAAGTCAAAGTTGGTTTATTTTCCTAATATAAAACCTGACATTTTGATTAGCAACACATATTTAAATACACACTGGTTTACCCCAGCGTTAATCAGAATATTGTTTCTATTTTTGAGTTTGAAGTTTTTATATATAGGAATGAGATTTAAGCAATATGGCGACAAAAATAGTACTGAGCTTTTCCCCAAAATTAATGCGAGGAAAGGCATGTGCTAAATTTAATCCATTAAAAAGCTTCTAAATCAGTCAAAGCCAGCTCTATAAAAAACTAACTACACCCCAACCTAATTCAATACTGGAAACTTCAGTGCACGAAGAAGAGATATATGCATACCATGTATTCACAAGCTTGCATGAACAACTGGCAATTTGGTGGTATTTAATGGCGCGGATTACTGGTTGGAGGGATTTTATGCCGAATGCAATACACGAATGCAATACACGTGGCTTGGAGGCTGGATGGTAGGATTGCATCGTAAGTCAGACTTAAATCTGACATTTATGACGAGGAAACAGGTGACTACTCTCAGTCAGTTTTCTTTACATCACAATAAAAACACAATATTAAACTCGGCTTAGAAAACAGCTAGATCAATGCTCAACACCTAGGCACGGTGGACCGAGGGTAACAGTGATGAAACGTTAAAACCCTGCTGTGGAATCAAACCATCATTTCTTGAGTTTTAAGATCATGAAAGCAGTAAGTGTTAAACTCATTCATCCCTGAAATTTCATAATGAACTATTCCAACCTTTGATTTGGAAGAGTTCAAATGTGTTTTCAAGGGTGAATGAGTTAAAGACATTATTTTCTATTGCAACTTTTTTTGGCTGCCCAACTGTTGAAGTTAATTTGTTTACAATGGATAGATGATTGTTTTATAATCATTATAAAAGTCTCACTTTAAAATCTCTGATCTGGGTCTCTTAACCTCTTTGCAACATGCCATTAGTCAGTGTTACAGAAATTCATAATTGTAAAGTTTATGTCATGATCAATAAAACCACGGTATCTCCAACTAAGGAAGACATTTATTTGCTGCACAGGAAGTTGTTTTATCAGTGTCTATAAACACATCTTTTAATCTTGACAGGTGAATCTTTTTCCTCTAGTTATCTCACCCTGATAACAACCAAACAACAATTTAATCTGGGTGATTAAAACGTTTTTTTCTACATTCACAATTTAGGTAATGGTTAAGAATGACAGGAAATCATAAACATCAAGGCCAGTAATATAGGACTTTAAAAAATCTTTTGGTTAATTTTTTTTATATCATGTACTGATATTTTGGGAAACAAATTGACATAAAAGAGATGGTTTATTGCAAAATCTGAAAAAAATATGTTTGTGCAAATCCTTTATCTATTGAAATTAATGTAAATGAAATTCTGTTGATGTGTTAGTTATAAGTCTGACGGGTAACAGAAGGCTGCGTGCCAACAGAACTGTTATAAGATATGATTAACTATCCACCTAATCAATGGTGGTTGGCAATAGCTTGTAATCTGTAGTTCCAGGTTGTAGAGTCAATTCATTTTTACACAATGAAACTGTGTAAGATAAATGTAATCATTACAAACTGATAAGTGAAATCAATGTTATCCAGGTTGGCAGATGATGAAGAAACCGAATGGATTGCCGATTGTTTCCCCGAGCTCATACCAATCAAGGCGCGGAAACATCAATCTAATACTCTCCTGGTGGAGTTGAACAAGGAACGTGTATTCACTATTACATAGATTTTATAAATGGTCATGACAACTTATGCATTGCCGCAGATCCTGTCTTCCCGTACACGAACGATACGAGCTGTTACTCTGTTCCAATAAGTAGACGAATCTATCGTAACTATTAAGTCTGTGTCCTGGTGTCGTTGCTCCAGATTTGACCTCTCTCCTCTGGCCGGACTAAAACAGGCCGCATGTCATTGTCTGTCATCAAACATAATCTAATCATGGTCCGACACAGTCAGTGATACAGACATGCTGGTAACACACGAGGCCTTTATTTATATAATTATTTCAGCTTCAAAATTGATTTGTTAAACGTTCCAAATATTTTGCTTCCACAAGTTTTTATTCTGATCTTTCAGCAACGAGAACCATCATATAGACATACCTGACAATTGTCACGTTCAGAATATTGACAATCTGGGTACGATCCTTAACAACCAAAAAATGCCCCTCAAAGCTTCTCTCAAAATAATCTTCAGGTGTAAATTCAAACTATGTCACCTGACCCCACCCCAGGTAAGATAGCAGCGTAGGTGTGTTTCTAATGAGATACAGGTATGTACATAGTTCTGATTCCAAACGTCCCTCACATAACTTTTATCTCCTGAACAGTTAACCGTTTAGAATTCATGTCATCAAATAATTACCATCATCCTCAATCTGCATGTGGTAATGGGAGCCCCACCCAAGCTAGCCAAACTTAAAGAATTTTATGTTTTACTGGTACAGTAAATCCTCCTTATACTATTATTAAACCTTGCAAATGTTTGCCTTACAATTGAGGATTCTGATAGTTCATCTAGGAAGATTTATAAAGGAACTGTAAGGATAAACAGAAATTTACATCGTGATGTATGATTGTAGTAGCTGTGGTGGCAGGGTTAGCCATAGTGGCAATGGTGGCCATAGTGGCGATGGTGGCAATGGTGGCCATAGTGGCAATGGTGGCAAACATGGCCATAGTGGCAATGGTGGCAATGGTGGCCATAGTGGCAAACATGGCAATGGTGGCCATAGTGGCAATGGTGGCAATGGTGGCCATAGTGGCCATAGTGGCAAACATGGCAATGGTGGCAAACATGGCAATGGTGGCCATAGTGGCAATGGTGGCAAACATGGCAATGGTGGCAATGGTGGCCAGTGGCAATGGTGGCTATATTGGCAATGGTGGCAATGGTGGCCATGGTGGCAATGGTGGCCCATAATGCAATGGTGGCCATAGTGGCAATGGTGGCAATGGTGGCAATGGTGGCCATAGAGGCAATGGTGGCAATGGTGGCCATAGTGGCAATGGTGGCCATAGTGGCGATGGTGGCCATAGTGGCAATGGTGGCAATGGTGGCAATGGTGGCCATAGTGGCAATGGTGGCAATGGTGGCCATAGTGGCAATGGTGGCACACATGGCAATGGTGGCCATAGTGGCAATGTCAAATAAAACAATAATGCTTATGTTTTCACTATATTTAGAAAAATATAAATTCAAAAGCAGATAAATGTCGTACAAATATCAACCTGTGTCAGTGCAGTATTCAGTTACGTCAATCAATGGAGTGTGTATGTGTACCCAAATAAATATACAGTGGAAAAATACCCATTGGGTAATCACCACTGGCAGACTTTTTAATTAAAACGATATTCTCCATATAGTTCACAACACAAAGCCAGCAATTATGTCAAGCTTGCAAATATTTTCAATTAGAATACAAAATGTGCTTTCAATTTAAAAACCCCACTAAAATGTCATTCTACTAAATCATCAATCATGCCTTTTAATTTCTCAACTGTTGCATGTTGTTTAAGACTAGTGTCTCTGTGCACTGAATGTCAACATGTAATCAGGCAGGGCTCGACCCCTTTACCAGCGGATAGATTAGTCCTATCTGACAGAATACTGGGTCCAATTCTGATATTGGGGGGAGAGGGTAGTTATATTTGCCAATCTGAATTATCGCATCAAATGCCACGGGGTGGATAAGTGAATTGTACTTGGTCGCTCCGTGTCGGTCTCCGTGAGGAACAATGGCCACCATTATGTAACGTAATCAACTGTGCCTGCTATCGTGAACGAGAAGAAAGCACTAGAAATGCCAGTACAGAACGGATCATGTATCATAATGCACTAGTTTACTCTCAGGCAAAAGCTAGGATACCTTGAAACAAAGTCTGTTGGCTATTCCATGAAAATAAAGCAAATTTGGATTGTACAGCTCATAGGAATAGTTTCATTTTGATTGAAAATGCCGTACATGCATATTCCACATAATTTTTGACATCCTCTCATCTCTCCCTTGACCTTTGACATCCTCTTAACTCCCCTTTGACCTCTTAACACCTTCCCCTTTTATATCTTTCTACCTCTACCTTGACATTTGACATCTTTCCATCTCGCCATTGATCTTTGATATCATCCCACCTCCCAGTTAATCTTTGATGTCCTTTCAATTCACCGTTGACCTTTGACATCCTTCCACATCCCCATTGACCTTTGACATCCTTCCACATTCCTGTTGACCTTTGACATCCTCCCATCTTCCCATCTCATCTTCTACCTTTGACATTTGTCTTGTCATCAGTTCTATTAAATTGCTTTTGTCCTTGGAGACAAATTTTATTGACCCCCAAAAAAGGACAGAGTACAGAGGCTGCATGGACTTGTGTCATCTCCTCTGTCCAGGCTCGAGGCCGGTCAGTGTAACAGATGCCATCATTTAGTCTGGAGGTCAAACTCCTATATGATGTCTTGCCACCTCTTGAGGGACATATACAAAAAAAAAATTGACATCCCCACACTTAATAAAATTCCTTCAATTCACAAGGAATGTATGTCTCCCTAACTTGGACATTTGAGAGGAAGACATTCATTGTGTGAAATATTATCCAGCATGTAACAAGAGC